CTCGTGCGCGGGTGCAGGCCAAGAAGAGAGGGGCCTTGGGGGGGGGGGGCTCAGAGGTGGCTGCGGGAGAGCAAGATGGGGCCTGAAATGGAAGCCTGCTTGCTCGGAAGCACCGGTGGGGCTGCCGCTGAGAGCCACCGTGGGCCCCTCCCCCCATATATAGTCCTGCTCCAAACCAAAGGTCATAACAAAGCACATCGCTTAGCTTGCCGTTACCCTGGCTAGGGTCGCAAGTGTTCAAGGTGTACGGAACGTAAAAGGAAAAGGGGCAGGGTGACAAAGAAACTGATTTTCCGTATTATTTGCAAAACAAAGCCCCCCCCCGCTTTTAGAGAAGCATCCCTTAGCGCAGGTCAGCGTTAAAGGGGAAGAGGCAGACTGGCAGGCGCTTTGCGAGCTTCCTGACTCGCAAAGGAACCGATAGTGCACGGTCCACGCGGAGGAGCCTTGGGGGCGGGCTGTCCCTCGGCAGCCCAGGTGTCCAAAGCCCACAGGTGACCAGGGGTCACCGAGGTGCTCCGGCAGCTCCCTGGGGCTCAAACCCGCTGCACCAAAAGACCGCACACCCTTGCAAGACACACGCTGACCACTGCGAACCACGAAAAAGACTTTTCCTTCCTTTATTCCACAAGGGACGGTTTTGTTCTTGGGCTGTTTCATATGTTTTTGTTTCATTACCGTTTTTTCATTGTTGCTTACTCTTCATAATTGTATATTGTTATTATTTCTAATTGGTTTCAATGGAAGACAACCCCCCCCCAATCCAAATTGAACGAAACTCTGGGCCTGTCGTACCCCCCAAGGACACCCAGACGGCCAAGTTTCAGACAAAGAGACGAAAGCCCCTCTCCCCCCTGCCTTCTGGGGCAACAAGAGGCACCCGTGTTTAACATTAAGGTCTATGAGGAGGAGGAGGAGGAGATTGGATTTAATACCCCGCCCTTCACTACCCAAAGGTGTCTCAGAGTGGCTTACAAACTGCTTTCCCTTCCCCTCCCCACAACAGACACCCTGTGAGGTAGGTGGGGCTGAGAGAGCTCTTGACAGAAACTGCTCTTTTTCAAGGACAGCTCTTGTCAGAACTACGGCTTGCCCAAGGTCATCCAGCCAGGTGCAAGTGGAGGAGGAGTGAGGAATCAAACCTGGTTCTCCCAGATTAGAATCCGCGCACTTAACCACGACACCAAACTGGCTATGAGGGAATTGATAGGAAAGGGTCCGAACAGTAACATGGACAGTACAGCAGCCCCTGAGCCTGAATAAGTAGGCCCCGAATAAAAACAGTCAATTGCTTCAGATGGATTCAGCGAAGGCACAGAAGGGAAAATCTATGCAGAAAGACGGCTAAGACTGGCACAAGAATCCTCCCCGCTCACGCACAGACACAGCAGTGGGCATCCCCATGACATCGGCCTCAGAGGCCCACCCCACCCCACCCTCTTCAGGGTTGGACAACCTCCCGTGTGGATGCGATCCTACTGGCTACAGCCTGCAGTCCATCAAGAAAGGGCAGAATCCCCCCCCTCAAAAAACACACACAACCCCACCGCTTGTAAAACCAACTGAGTGAGCAGCAGAATCTTTCCCACGCCCTTAAAATGCTCAGTTCTGCCTGCTGCCAGGTGCATCGTGATCCCAGCGTCACGGTTCCTCAACCTGACGTGGACCCCTGGAACTTCTCTGCTCCCCACCCCTGGGAAGTGCCTCCTGGAAATCGGTGGGGGACTCGTGAACACTTGTGGGAGTGGGCTCTCTTTGCCTCTGGAGTCATGCAGCCTCCGGCCCTCTCGCAGTGAAGCGTCTGACTTCTGGC